CCCCTCTTGGGGCCGATGCCTAAGGGTCCCGCATCAGCACCTGAAAGCCCACATAGTTATCTCAGGGCCCCATACCAGTTTATGAAGGCCCTCACCGGCTCTTGAGGGGCCCCAGAGTCCAGACCGATATCCAAGGACCTCTGGCCAATGCCCGGGGGCGCAGGCCGATGCCCGAGGGCCCCAAGCCGTTACCCGAGGGCCTTACACAGCTATCTCAGGGTACCATGCCACTTTCCGAGGGCCCTAACCGGCTCTCGAGGGCCCCAGGCCGATTCCTGAGATCCCCAGGCTGATGTGAGAGGGCCGACCGACTGAGGCGGCCCCCTACGTCAGTTTCTAAGGGCGTCCACGACCGCCGTCTGGTCAAAGCTGATCTCTGAGGGCCCTACGCAGGTTTTTAAGTGCACTCAGCTCTTGTTTAGGATCTCACACCGGCCTCTGAGATCGGATGGCTTATGCATGCCGCAGAGGAGCCCTTACCGGCTCCTGAGGGCTCCGTGCTGATAGTTGAGGGCCCCATGCCAACAGTCGAGAGTCCCATTCAGTAATCTCAGCGCCCTACACCAGTTTGAGGAACGCCGTTCGGCGAAGGCCGACCTCCGAGGAAAAGCCCTCTGCAAGCCTCGGAGTGCCCTCACTTTCTTTTTAGGATCTCACACCAACCTCTGAAGTCGCAGGGCTAAAGGATGCTTCTGATAACCCTCACTAGCTCGGACCCAAATCGATGCATGATGACCCGACAGAAGTGCCTGAGTAGCCCACACAGTAATCTCAGGGCTCACACCAGTTTCTGAGGGCCTAGACGAACGCTTTTTGGCCAAGGTCAATGTCTCGGGGCCCTATTCAGGCATCGAGGCTACTCGGGCGCCAAGAGACGGTGGGGGACCTCCAGGCGAGCTTGCTTGGTAGTCATAGGCGGCGGAACGGGGAGGGCACCGGGGCACCGTGCCCCCTTTGATTTGGGCATTTTAACATTAGCCTTATGGGCGTTGCATGGAAAGAATGGGACCAAAAGTCGGCAGTGCCCCCCCCCCCTTAACTGAAGGTGTTCCGCCGCTACTGTTGGTAGTTGGTACCCCATGGAGCCGGCGAACGGTGTCAAAGAGCCCGGTGTGGGGGCCCAAGAAGCGGCGTGGGCATCCATATTTCTATGTACATGAGGTATTCCAGAGGCCGTTATGGGACCTTCAAAGACCGTGTGCGGTGCGCCGGTGACCCTTAGAATTGCCGGCGTTGGGTCTCAGGAGCTGGCGTGCGGCCTTCATGGGGCCCCAAAGCCAGCGTGTGGGCCGTAGAGCAATGGGGAAGCTAAGGGGGCAGGAGGCCCCATAGGTCATAGGGGCCAAATCGATGGGCCCAAACATCCCGCCGGCCGTGTTTTATTTTTAATCTAATTCATGTAATCCATGATAAAAAGAAGTGTGCCAACATCAACTGTGCAAAAGGGCTCTCTGAGGCCCGTAGGGACCCTTGAAGGTCACTGTAAGCCTTTAGGGGCCTGTTTGGGAAAATCGAAGATCGATTTGGATCACGTTGCATGCATGCATGCATGCATGTGCATTGTGCATTTACTCTGCTCATGCATCTCCTGACCGTAAGATGCTCGCTCAGTCATCTTACGACCGTCAATTTTGAAGGTTTTCCCGCCCCGCTTCCTTAGAACCGGCTTATTCCGGAGCAGTGGCGGCGCTGACTTTTTGGAAGGGGCCCGGCGTGAGATGGGGGGCCCAATCGCCACATCGTGCACACCCTACGAGAATTTGAATCCGCGGTCCCTGCCTTCATTTAGAGCTTCCGGATGGCAAAATTGTCTTATTTATTATCACTAACTTGAATTAGTGAAACAGCCTCTAGCAGGGATACTCTTCTGTGACCTTGACCTTTGAGCAGCCTTGTATCGTAAGATGAACCACAAATAGGGAACTGATAAGCCTCAAAACATTTCAAAACATCTTGGAAGTTAGCACGCAAGATGTGCGAAAAAGTGCCAAGCTTGAGGTCAATTTTGAGCGTGACCTTGACCTTGACCTTTGATTTTGAGCACAGTTTTCGAATCCTCAGATTCTCGTCTTTTGTTTGACACCCAATTTTGCCGGTTTCATGCAGCCTGCCGTCCTCTAGAAGGCTTACTTTGAGATCACTACACATGTGCCGGTTTTTGCTTTGACCTTGACCTCTGACCTTGAAAATTGACCTGAGGTCAAAAATTTTAGGTGCTTTAGAATTGTCTCGTAAGGACCTTTCGTTTGGTATCGCTTTTGTTTCCGTAGCTCCCTTATTTACGGAGTTAGACAGGGGGGCGATAAACGCCCCCCCCCCCCCGGGCTGCGGTGGTTGGGATTACCCCCCGGGCCCGGCCGGGTTAAGCCGGGTAAAACCGAGATGTTTTGCAGTTCAAACCTCGCTAATACCTTCGCAACGTCACGCACAGCAACAAGCTAAATTGGCCGTTTATGTCTATGCAAATGTGAATGCCTTCAAATATTTTTTACGTCAAGAGAGTCACGTCTGGCATAATTGGTAATACAACCGTTGTTTGTCGTTCGACTTATTAGATTATCTCCCGTACAAAAATACCACCGTGTAGTCGACATATGACTCAGTACTCACCCAACATGGCTGAAAAACAGATTTCCTGCGGCTTGCTTGGAATTAACAGACGTATAGGTATAGGTAATATTATGCATATTGCGGCTACCTTTTTGTTGTGCTAATAAGGATGTTAATCCGCGCACCGACGGGGGGGCGGATATCCGCCCCCCCCCTGAGGTTTTTCTACGCCGCCGCGAAATTTGGTATGACTATAACCTCATCAATTTTACACATGGTGTGCAAGTTTGAACCTCCTACCTTTTAAGGTCAGGTCACCAGGTCACTTTGAATGACCCAACCTCAAGTCACTTTTTTGCAACTTTGTCACCGTGCCAGAGCTACAGTAGATGTCGGAGGCCTTTGAAACTCACAGGATATTATTAGGTCATTAGTAGCTACAATTTGTATATCTCGGAATTTTGATATCGGTGACCTAAGGTCAGGTCAATTTCGCGACCTCCCCATTATAAGTCAATGGGGGAAAAATCAACTCCCTGTTTTTACCACTAAAACGGGTCGGAATGGCCCCATATACCATACATGACTTCATATACGATCAACCTTCACTACCTTGAGGTCTGTTTTGCTGTTGGGCAGCTGTGAGGTCATGTGACGTCATCAAAGGTCACCAAAGGTTTTTGGCCAATAACTCCGTACAGGAACAAGATACAGACGCGTGGATGGTCTCATTGTGTTCAGCTCGTCAAGACGCATCGAATGATATACATGATGACCTCGAGGTCACGTGACCTGAGGTCAACCTTTGACCTTGACCTTTCGAGGTCAACATATATATCATTCGATGCGGATTGACGAGAGGATCACGATGATGCCCTTAGTTTGTTCCTATCTTGACTAATTCGAAAGTTATTCGAGAAAAACTCTCTCCATATCTAGCGCCGTTATTTTGACTTTTTCGACCCCTGTGACGTCATCTTTGACCTGACCTGAAAATGACCTTAGTAAAAATTGTAGATCTTGGCCGTGCGTATCCGATGCCGTTTACCGCTTGTCGCTATCTTGCTTCGTTCTCGAGATCTCAGGGGGGGGGGCGGTCATCCGCCCCCCCCCCCCCCGTCGGTACGAAGTTGGCGCAGACCCTCGTCGGTGCACGGGTTAATTATGCTGCAAGTTCCTAATAGTATTACATAGTTTCTAAAACAACTTTTTTGTTATTTCTCCTGTTTTACTACCTACATCGATCACTCCTCCGTCTTTGTAGCAACGCCTTTCTCGCGTATTCTTTAGAAATTGAAACACCACTATTGTGACAGCAGTGATTTGATGACTTTACAGTGGATCTCCACACATTAGGCATGCGAGTCTGGTATGTATGGCTGAATCAGACGCCGAATTTATCACGCATTAAACTGCCGTTGTGTGCCGGCCGTGAATATCGATTTGGCGGAGCGAGGAGCTCTGGCGCCCGTCGGGCCGAGGCGACGCCAGTGTAGACTCAGAGACGCCGCCCGGGTTTCTCCGGTCGTCCTCTGCAGCCAGACGCCCGAGTTGCTGACCATTTCTGCCGTCACTCGCTGTTTGTTTTTCGATTACTTCAATCGCTCTCTTCTTCCGTTCCACGTATTGTCGCTCGTTCCTCCTTTTATTATTTGTCTCCTATAGTCACCGACAATCTAATAGTTCTTTCAACGCTTTTTTCATTCCATGTCCCTTGCGCCGTTCCTGCTCTTATTCTCCACTCTGATCGTCTCTCCATATCTGTCCTTCTGTCCGTCTGTCCGTCTGTCCGTCTGTCCGTCTGTCCGTCTGTCCGTCCGTCCGTCTGTCCGTCCGTCTGGTCTGTCTCTCTCCAACGACCACAGAAGAGGAAGAGAGGGCATTTCAGTGTATGTCCAGAAGCACCGTGCCAGCTGGAGGCATCATGATCCAGGCTAACCGCCCTTCGTGGCCTTTAAGCATTGTTGCTGCCCAAAATTTAATAAAGAAATGCAGAAACACAGGATCCTCCTCAGAGTGGTGACGAATTGTGCCAATAAAACGTGGGAGCAAACGCTGAGTGGGGGCTGACTTCAAAGTTCCCTACCATATTTGAACATTATGTGCATTGCAACACGTGCTCGAAAGCAGCGCATTGAAGTATGCTGAAGCTGGAATATTGTCCTGCATGCTTCTAGCGCAATATGAAGTCTTCCCCATCACCTGTTGGAAAGAATGTAGAATATGGCAATAAAGCACACGCAAAACATAGTAATTGAACTTTGTCAGCACATAGCTCAAGTTCACAGCAATTGAACGCTGAGGGATTTGCCTCAGCATACTGATGATAAAGACATGTGAGCGAAGGGTATCTCAAGCTGAAGTGATTGATTTCACTTGCACAGTCCACGAGCCCACAGCCTGTCTGCCGCAGGCATCCACTCTGACTGATTACCCGCTGTCTGTTTCAGGCGTGCTTTACTACTTCAACTCGGCCATCAACCCGGTACTCTACAACGTCATGTCAAAACGCTTCCGCGTGGCATTTCGCGAAAACCTGTGCTGTCGCCGACGGCGGCGTCCGGCGCGGCGCGCCTCCAACAAGCTTCTGGTAGTGTTTCGGCAGAGCGGCAGTTCGGAGCGCGGCGGCGGCGGCTCGCTGGCCGAGCTGCCGCCGCCCCCGCCGCCGCCCGAGCCGCCCGGCGTGCAGCTGTGCTGCGTCCAATGCCGCGGAGCCGGCTCGCCTCGCAGCCGCTCGGAGCCGGCGCACGCGCGCAGCCAGGCCGAGCTCGGCTGCGGCGGCTGTTCGCGCCACCGGCACGGCCTCTCCAAGAGCGAGGGCAACTGTCCCAGCTCGTGGTCGCCCGTGCTGGCCTCCAGCGAGTGGAGGAGCAGCCGAGCGCGCCGCGAGCCCACCGAACTGACCGCGGCCGCCGCGGCAGAGGATGACTGGCCGCCCGAGCGTGTCTGTGTCCTCCTGGAGAATGGGACGCATTACCAGCGCGTGCCGCTAGAGGCATCCATATAATGAGACAGAGAGGATAGTATCGAGAGGAAGCCAGCAGTGATGACGTGCTGATTCAGAGACTGATGCCTGATGGGATTAAAAGCCTCGGCTCGTTCGAGAGTGATGACAGTGATCAAAAGAGATCTGGTGGGTAATGATCAAACTCCATCTAAGTTTGACGCGAAGGAACTGCTGACAGTAATCGTTAGCAATTGAGCGGTAATGTGACATGTTGCCTGGTGCGCTATCAATTTTTGAAGAGAAAGAACTGAGAGAAAGCCGTTGTCTATAGGATAAACACGAGAAGAGCTTCGGTCCGGTGTACCGCTGTCTACCTGTATCCAACGGTGTAGCGGCATGGCGTTGTGTTTTTGTCCTGGCGGCGGGATTGGATTGGCGTTCGATCGGTGTCCGCTCGGAGTGAGCATCTCTCTGTTTATGAGACGGTCGGAGAATGTCCGTCTGTGTCTGGAAGCCCGGCCGGGCGCTCCTTTTGGCGCGCTAATCGGTCTGGCGGGAGTCGTGTCAGCGCCGTGCGATCCGTGTGATATACGTCATGTTTTGATGTCCGGGGCGGTCGCCCGAACAGAAAATAACGCCGCGAGTTTAAAAGCTGATGGAAGCGGCAGTAATTTCCTAGGCACAGCATAAGGCCTAATGTGTAAACGTTGTTTCAAAGTGAATTGGACCATTCGATGGCATGAAATGGACCATCCGATTATTGAGCACAAGGTTTTTCTCATTCACCTCCATACTCAAGTTCAAAGTGTATGGTTTCCAGCTTTATGCAGGACTGTCACTTCAGAAACACGACGTGATAATGTGTTACTGTTACCCGTCCGTTGGTCGTGTACTGCTGGTGTAGATATAGAATCAAATGATCAATGAGATGGCATTTGAATGTGACGATTTCAATAACTTTATGTAAGTGAAGGAGTAATAAGTATTCGCATCCAAACAATTAAGAGATACATGTAAACTGATTTTTTCACGTGAAATCTTTCCCTTTTAGCCAGCTCACATACAGAGTACCTAATACTCATATTCAATGCCATACTATTGATCATTTTACTCTATATCTATAGAATCATGGCAACACAACCATCTTACACATGATATGAGTACCTAGTTATACTTGTTGTACCTCTGTTGCATTGTTTAACGTTTCTTGTTTTGTGTAACATGCGCACAGGCATCTGGCGCTCCCAAGATGTGCTCGTGTCTCTGGGTTTCGGAGTCGGCACAATTCAACATCAATACATGGCCATCATTGTCACTCGTATGTTTTGGTTTTAACGTCTTTGTTCGTATTTTCCTACTGCGGCATGCCTTTCCTCCTTCCAGAAAATAGCTTCGCAACATTGATTTAAAAAACTGTTATTTTTTAATGGAAAGTCGCAAGTCTGTATTGTTACGGACGCTGCAGTAGGTATGACAATTATCAGGTAAGGTCAGCTAAGTGAGCCGCATATATTACAACAATCTAACCAGCTCCAGAACATGGCGCTCGATACTAAATTGTGACCTCGATACTAAATTTAGACGTGTCCCGATTGATAGATATATTTTCGGTAGATGGGAATATATATCCACCTTCACAGCACCCTGCGAACATAACAGAGATTAAACGTCAGATCAATTCAACATTTTATAACACTCACTTCATTATCTTTCCTTTAGTTAAGCGTTTTGTAGGATAAAGCGAATCTCTTGAAGCTTCACGGCGGCAAGGGAAGCAAATCGTTCGTAATGGTTTTCGAGCTGCACGGGGAATGCCGTTATGACATTGGATGTTTGTTCGCTGACAGTCGTTGGTAACCATGCCTTGGGAAGCGATTGTCTTGCCCTTCTTTCTTCATTTCCTTCTTCCTCGTCCACTACTGATTCCTTTCGTCAACCACCGGTCACGTCACCGGCCCTGAACATCCACCATGCCTCGCTAACTCCATCTCTGAGAGAGGACATTTCCACCATCCACATTCCAATTCCCGCACCATTTTCCACATTCTACGTCCCGGTGTCGGCGGCAGTTTCCGCCTTCTCCGCTGCCGCCCCTCCCGCTCCGTCCTCCGCCGAGTCTCCTGCCGGCTCCTTCGCGTCACCCTCCGGCGAGCCCCTCTCCGCATCCTGCGCGTCGTCTGCTTCCGACTCGTCCGAGCTGCTGTAGTCGGAGTACTCGGAGTCGTCGTCGTCGTCAGCGCGTGACCACATCCAGGCGGCCAGTCCTCCGATGGTGGCCAGCAGGAGGACGCCCATGAGCACCGCGCCGACGATACCTCCGGCGCCGGCCTCCATCAGCGCCTCGGCCACGCTCTTGACGATGCCGCCGCCGGAGGAGCGGCCGCCACCGTCCTGCTTGTCGGCCGAGTCGCGCTTGGTGCGGTTCATCACGCCGAACGAGCTCACCTCCAGCTGCAGCTGCAGCGAGTCGATACTCAGCTGCGCTTCCCCTGTGAGGATGCCCAGACTGGAGCGGAACACCAGGTCCATGGCTTCTGGCACCCGCGAGCGCAGCATGATGGGCGAAGGCTCGTTGAGTAGCAGCGAGGAGAAGCACCAGACACGGATGTGTTTGGACTCGCTGGCGCCCCAGTAGAGCACAAAGCCGCCCGAGTGCATGTCGCATTCGGTCATGGTGATGTTTGCCAGCATGTCTTCGAGCTTATCCTGCATTTTGCTGATGATTGTTTGCATTGCTGTATGGTTCAGAGCCACGTTTATATGCTTTCGTTCCTCGGCTAGTCGTATAGAAATTGTAAGGAACTGCATTAGCTTGACGTGGCGGTTTGCGTCTGTGACAGTCGGGAGCTTCTCACTAACGTGCATCTCAAGATTTGAAGTGTTGTACAATCCAGATGCATTGATGTTCAAAAACCACGTGTTGTTATAACAAAAATCGGGACCAGTATCGATCACTTTTTCACATCTTGGACCTCCAAATTGTTTCAAGCAGGCACAAGTGCAGTCTTTTTTCAAGTACCCATAATTTAAACATTTTGGAGGGGTATCTGTGCAGTCTTTCGCGAATTTCTTCTCACATCCGTACGTTTTATGAACTTGATAAATATCCAGGTGTGACAATGTAGGACACGTAGCATGGCGATGATCTAGTAAATATTGCTTTGTACCGTCTTTTGTAACTATGACACCATGTGGATCACCCATTGAGTCTACATGCTCCGAAGTAATGGGGTGCATCGTGGACAAATAATCGTAAGGTACTGGAACATCCATGCTGACAGCAGAGCTAGAGCATTTCTGCAAACTCAGCCACTTTGGTTTGACATCAAATGACAACGGAGGCCACAGTCGTTCGCTCAAAAGTTCAGGATGGAAGACAATGTAATCGTCCCGATCGGGCCGGTTTATTGGTGACAACAAACCTAATGTGTTACTCACCAGTCTCTCCATCTCAATGTGTGAACAGCCGCGGCTATCAATGCACATTTCTTGACATTTTTCGGCGCCGCCCTCTTCACCGTAGCGATAGCCAAGGTATGTCGAACAGCATTTTGCTCGAAATGTATTGATATTTAGAACCCCGTGATCCAGTGTTTCTTGTTCCGAGCATGCACCGGCACCAAGGTTAACAAACTGAATGCAACCGTCGGTATGTTTCGTCCATAGATGAGCTGTTAGAAGCACTATTCCCACAACAGCCCGCATCGCTGCCGGCGTATTGAGATATGTACTCTTCTGAGTCGTATACCATATCTTCGGATCTCCATTTTTGTCGAGCCATAACCTTTTTCTGTGCGCAAAGACTCCTGAGAGTCGTGCCTTTTCCAACTCATCAAAGACGATGGCCGCTGATAGATTTTGTCCACCTTCCAGGCTTCCATTATAATAAAAATCGCTTAATGGGTAGGGCATTGGATTTTTCAAAGATGCATCCCTACATCTCAACCTCTAATGGCGTGCACTTTGCTATCCGGTCTGGGTACTTTTTATTTTTCAAGTAACGTTGAGGGTCAGTGCAAGAAGACCCTACGGAAATTAATATAACTGCATTGGCAATACGATTTGATCTTGATCTTTTTAATTACACAATTAATTAAGACAACAATTTCATAGTTTAAATATCGCCTTAGTGTGACGGCAATGTGCGGCGATATCAGCGGCGATATTACCCCTACTGATATTACCTGCTGTCTGCGACATTTTGTGATGCATTTTCTTGACACGTGCTGTGTTAAGCAGGTACTTTTTACAGAGGCTGAACAGGTACGTTTCTGTCGTTTACTGCATACCTTCAAAGGTATGCATGTCGATACATTGCACAAGGCACACAAGGGTGAAGAAGAAACTCAACAGCATCACTCGCACCATAAATCATCTGCTGCGCAAAACAGAACATGGACACGAAACCATAAACAGTACCTAAGAGTCATGATCATGCCGTGGTCGTCAGGACGTATCCCCGTCAGCAACGTTAGAATCGAGTTAACAAGTCCCAGAGGACAGCACCAAGTGAAGGTCTGTCTGGGACGACAGATACGGTTCATTAAGATGACGAGCGTGGGATGGAATGGCTCTAACAACTCACTGTCGCCCACGGCTCTGCCGCTCAGTGCTCGTCATAGCTTGCATATTGTGAATGCGTACTTACAAACTAGACGTGCGACATTGTGAAAGCTAGCTGGCTTCAGGCAGCCCGTTTGTTACCAGCAAAGCTGGCGCTGTTGCAGCGCTGAATAACGATCCTTCGTCCTTCGAGCTGAGTGTATATCATTGAACCTATAGTAGTTGGTTGCTGTGGTATCAGGTGTGTAATGAATAGTGGTTTCAAGCTAACAACTTGACGTAATTCGATGTGGTATTGACTTACTACAAGACGCTTTAGGTAGGTATTGTAAACTGTGATGTCCAATTATGGTGCTCTCAACTCTAGAGCGCATGATAATGGGGAAAAACTTACTGAAACTTAAATTGAAAGGTCAGAGCTAACTGGTAGCACATGCTTGCAAGCAATGTTACGCAAATAAAAGGTTCGAATAAAAAACATTTCCCGAGATGTAAAATGTGACTTAAAGGGACCCTCCCACCTTAACATTAGTTTTGAGTTGAGATAGCCAAGTTTGCGGCCAGGCTCAGAAACCACCATTTATCCTGGTCGCAACCCCCGCAGCTTTATGGTGTTCAAGAAATTTCTTCCCTTTACTTGCAGGGTGGGACCAGCGTGGTCCCTATCTCTTAACCATTACGGGAATCTGATGACGTCATCAGGCTTTCGAACGTCCGTTAAATGTTTGACTAAAACGTTTTGTAGCACGCGGTGGTATATGCTGCTTTGCGCGCAACAAATGCCGCACTTTCAAATAAAGTCGCTAGGAACAGCGGAGATCCCAAAAAGTAAACAAAAGTAAAAGTCTAATATCTTGAAAACCGGTGAATATTTTTCGATGAAATTTGGTAGATATTCGTTTTTGCTCTTTCTGAACCGAGCGACATCACTTTCATGCCAATTCATTAACTTTTTTGAAGGTGGGAGGGTCCCTTTAAAACCCGCGAGTTGCTGGAGGGAGGGGGGGGGGCGTTAAACGTCCTCAGTGCGCGCCAATTTTTGGTTACTTGTTGGGAATTGATTGAAGTTATATTGTGAGGCAGTTTAAAAAAGTCGGTCATATTTTTTTTTTAGGTATTAAGGTTTGGCGACGTACTGATTTCTGAGTTTTGGACCAAAAATGGCATAAGTTCAAAAGATTACATAATAAAAAAATAGGTTATCTCGCGCCCTGATGGGGGCCATTTTTGCCCCCCTGTGGTTTTTCTTAAATAGCGAGAAAACGACGGCGCGCAGCGTCGCCAAATTTTGGGTACCTTACCGGGCATCAATTTGACACCTTCACACAAAATTTCAAGTCACAGATCACCTCGGGTCAGGTATTATTGAGGTCAAACTGAGGTCATGTTCGAGTAAAAATGAGCAAAAAACATGATATCTTGAAACGCTCACCAATTCTACAGTTACCAAGCAATTTCAAAATTATTTATGTGGTTGTGTAGAGAAAAGACGGCGCTACAAAACTGCTATCTCGGATTTTCGAAATTTTTGGATTTTAACCCCCAAAAATAAAAAAGCTGATTTTTTTTTAGAAAAACTCAAAATACTTCCAAAACATTTTCGAATTTCGAAAAAAAAACGGAATATATGTGATAGTCCCTGCGCTCTTCGATATACATACCAAATTTCAGATCGATACCTCTTCTTTTGGCCAAGTTATAGCGAAAAACTGCTCAAAATTGATGACGTCAAATTTTTGAACTCAATTGTTAGGAGTTCTAGAACACGTAGCGGAAAACGGAGACCACCATTGAACTCCCCGTGACGAGCTGCATCGAATAAATACCCATTTTA